CATCTAGATCTACCCGTATCGAATTGAACTATTTTGGAGATTCTTATTTGAAAATCAATTTGAGGACTTCTAATTATTATAAACGCAAGACATTGAGACAGTCTGAATACGTCTAAGTGATGCATGGACGCTCATAGTTGCTAAATAGATAGTATTTCGGTGAACGTGAAATTCGATCACTCAAATAAGATGTTGTGCAGTGATTGATTGACAGACTGAGTGGTTAAAAAATCAGACACTCATAAATACACACACTACAAAACATAGGTCAAGTATATATGTGATGGTGTTATAAATTTATTGTCAGTTGTATAGTAACACACAGCTCCGTCTCGAAACTACACGCATTGAATTTAAGTTAATGACCGCATGATCAATGGTTCTCAGAAATGTGATTGAATGAGGAAAGTGTGCTCATGACGATCGGCAGATTAGACAATATGCACATTTCAGCAACCATCATTCGAGAAATTAGTGAATGAATAGATGGATGACCGGATGATTTGTTGGAATGTGTGCCGCACTAATGTATTTCTCTATATTTTATCATGATTTCTGTCAATTGTAATCATTAATTTCGATGACGAATATTTTAGTGTGCAAAGGTGTTATCGAGACAATATGCTTCATTGGTTAATCACATTATTTGTTGACAGTAATATTTTCGATCACCTGTCATATGAGGTCGATTCGAAATGATCATATTAATTTGGGAACTAATGAATATATTTTATTGTATAATTCTCACTAAGCCTTTTCCCATTATATGTCACTATTATCTAAGGATATGTCATGAAGTTACTTGAGTGCCATTCCTGAAAGTAGATCAGTGTGTTTGAGGACAGTTGAAAAGAAACCACGAGAACGAGTGAAACGACAACTAAGTAGGCACGCAGAATGCACTTACAATCACGAAAAAAAGAAAATTTTGTTAATCTCATAACGTCCAATTGCAAAATAGAATAAATCTCGCATGATAATTCATAGTATTTCATGTGGCTTATGATATTTTCTTATTTATCATTGAAGATTATGTCTCGAAAATAGATATGAAAAAACAAGAACGGCGTATGAAAATTCATTCACAAGATGTATATGGTAAATAGCGAGTGGATATCATCAATTCCAATCATCCTTACAAAACAGGTAATAAAAATAAAAATTGTAGACAAATTATATGATAAACCGATAAGACAAGATATCCAAAATGGTACCGAAGGAACATAGGTATGTTAGTCCACATTCGTTAGAACCATAATCCAGAAGGATTTGATATAATAGTGAATAACACATCGCGTCGAATAAACTGCAAATAGAATCAACCAATAAGAACGAAGAAACAGATAGAAATATATATGAACGCGAGTGGAGACACTCAGAAGGCACAGATCTAAAAATGCAAAACGAGGTAAATAATGCAAAAACCAAAATACCATTATATTCACCAGTCCATACTCAAGTATGGCAAATAAAAGACCAGTAAACTCGTCAGCCTCAATTTATCCATATCTTGGTATATCCTAGTATCTGAACATGTCCAGTGAGACCGAGTGATTGACGTTTCTAGAGTCGGATAACAAGATGAAGGTACTTGTTAGGGGCGACTAGCATCCAATGTGTGGTTGTGAATTCGTATGTTCACTGAGACAAAGTGTTTTGCAGCATTAGCAGTTGATTGTGGTTACTCTAATGACCTACTGTTTCAGATTGCTTCCGTTCCACTTGGATGATCGGATATTATCAATAGTCGTCTGTTCATTGAGTCGACTGACCACTGGACAGAGCTGCAGTAAACAAGTGTGCGGTTGAACAGTGATTGAAATTGTGTTCCATTGTGCCCACTCACATACAGAAAGAGTTCGATTAGGCCGAGTGACTACAGACTGCATTCCTCAACGTTTCTCTAATAATATGATTATTTATTGTTCTGTAGGTGTGGACGGCTCCAAACCCAATATAGTTTTCATCGATGACGAAGATGATAAATTCAACTTTCAGCATGCCGGAAATTTAGATCCCTCAAATTCACAACTGCGACCTGAAAACCATGATATTGGCAATCCCAATCCTCCAAATTATACACCTGAGCGCTATCTCGAAATGATAAACCGAAATGTTGGTCAACACTGGTATCCAGGAGTTCGTCGTCCAGACATTGGACAGTACTATTGGTACTATTGAAATATTGAACCGTGATGGATCTGCATTTGACTCAGAACAATTCTCATATCTCAGTATCAACGATTTCTCCAAATTCCTCTTCACATCATCACAATTCACATACACCATATCATCTCCAGTTGTACTATTCTACTCATTTGTCTAACCATTAAATATACTTAATCCCACATAAACGATTTTCTATCGTCTTCCATCATCTATGACCTAATCATGCTGAGTATGTTAGGCTTTCAACTGTGTCTTGCCTTAGTTCTGTGTTTGCTGTGATAACGACTCTCTCAACGTCATGTTCATTAGATGACACCTACACGATATCGTCCACATTGACTGAATGTTTCACATTCTACTGACTTCCTCGTGTTTGTAGTCTTTTCCGATGGAGATTGTGCACGTGTTGTTAGATTCGATCGCTTTTGTCGTCATGTCGATGACGTCGATGTGTTTCTATAAAGATACGAACTGACGGTTTTCCTTACGCGCTGTTCATGTGATGGCAAGTTTAATCTTCCCTATGGTCACTGAGCAAATCAAATCATAGTCGAATGAACATTTCTCTTGTAGATCGTAAAAAGCGTTCGACGATTTTCCGTTAACTTTGTAGAGTTAATCATCATGAGACGTGTTTCACTTCGTTGCAATCGGTTCCAATCAGGATTGGAATAGTGAAGATAGTTGTTTATGCGTATGCGTATTTTACATAGCCAGTTTTCTACTTATTCAGCAAAACATACTGAATTTACGTGACAATGTTCGTTTACAATTTAGGCTGTTTCGATGGCGTCTTAATCCGACCTGTTGATCACTTTCGCAACCACCCATGGTGTAGTGAGTTGCGAGTAGTTTCTAATCTAATTCAGCTTCACTCATATTATAAATTGATGTGTCCTCTTTCTATATGACAATAGTCGAACGGTCAAGTTTTCAGGGAACACACGATGGAAATACTGTACATAGGCGAATCGTTGTTTACGAGATTTAGCGAGTGGGTTGTTGGTCGGGACCCGATATACTTCAGCTTTACATCCAGTCGATTTCTGCTGTAATTTAACTTCGTCTACATTGAAATCATATCTCCTCTTTCTAAGTATTGATCTTAACTATCACAGTGTGCATTTGACCAGCAAGGACATCTTAAGCAATTCAAATGAAATGAAATATTTCGAAACTTCTACATTGTAAGTGTGGGTAAGGTGAAAGAAACAAAATGGTCGGTCGAATCACACAGGTCAAGATAAATAAATTCAACAATCAGATGTTCGAAGGCAAAACCACTTCGCTTACACGACGTAAAATAAACAAACATTTCCTCATTCAATGAACACGAACAGATTGATATAGCGATAGTGTGGAGAAAAGTTTGTAGAAGAAATCGGAAATAAAAAATTCCTACAACATAATTTAGTCGACTACTGACGAGACGAGTCACATCATTTGTTCAATCTATGAGCCAGTAAGTGCAAAAGACCAACACGGGTCGTTTGAATGCAAGTACTCGGCAGAAATGTAACGAAACCACTGGACAACGATTGATTACTAAGATCACAGCAACGTACAATACACAAAGAAAATATGAACAACTCAAACTTCATCAGTAATTGAGAGTTGATTACCAAGGTAACTGAATACCAAGTCCAGAGAAATGAAAATATTCGGTTGATTGTGATTCGGTTTGTTCATCTGTGATCATACAGTGGTAGATTTGCCTCGTTAATCCATCACCTTTGTAACCGTTATCATACACATTCCAACAATGTTTGAAATCATAAGGCAATGAGAAGCGGCAACTACAGATTATCAGCGGATAGCATGGATATCAGAGCAATAAGCACATCGAGCGGAATTGAAGCAGGGAGGCGAACGTGTGTGCGCGAGCGAATACAGAGGCAAATTTGTAGTCAAATCGAATCAGAGCACAGCAAGGCGAGACAGAGCCTAATAGTAGCATTCGCGTATATACATACATGGGGAAGAGGATGGATCATCGAGCGATATTCAAGCTATTGGGATTATCGCTAGAGTCTGTCATGTGATCAAGCGTACACGTTTATACAGATATGGTAGTGATCATAATGGTACAAAGAAATATGCGAATTGTTACTATTCGAATAACGTGGTCAGTTAAGCAAGTTAATAAAAAGCTCAAGTAAAATTAACCCTAATCGAAATTGGTTGTAGAATAGTTGCCATAATAACTCCACACTTCCAACAAAGATATGTGGGAAATATCTGTGTTGCACTAAGAACAGCAGACTGAATGGAGTAATTACAACCGTTTGAAGGTATCTGCTTATACATCATTGGAATGAAACTGATGTGTCTATTACCATTTACTGTGTATCTGGCTTCAAGCTCGTCCGTGAGCTTATACAAAATACTGGTAAAATATAAAATGAATATGGTATCATGTGGAAAAGTTTATACATACAAGCGTAAAGATATACAAGATACGCCGAGTTTTACAGTGTATAACATGAGCTTAATAATTCGTCCAAATAATCGAGACCCTATCGTGTAGGTATCATCTAATGAACATGACGTTGAGAGAGTCGTTATCACAGCAAACACAGAACTAAGGCAAGACACAGTTGAAAGCCTAACATACTCAGCATGATTAGGTCATAGATGATGGAAGACGATAGAAAATCGTTTATGTGGGATTAAGTATATTTAATGGTTAGACAAATGAGTAGAATAGTACAACTGGAGATGATATGGTGTATGTGAATTGTGATGATGTGAAGAGGAATTTGGAGAAATCGTTGATACTGAGATATGAGAATTGTTCTGAGTCAAATGCAGATCCATCACGGTTCAATATTTCAATAGTACCAATAGTACTGTCCAATGTCTGGACGACGAACTCCTGGATACCAGTGTTGACCAACATTTCGGTTTATCATTTCGAGATAGCGCTCAGGTGTATAATTTGGAGGATTGGGATTGCCAATATCATGGTTTTCAGGTCGCAGTTGTGAATTTGAGGGATCTAAATTTCCGGCATGCTGAAAGTTGAATTTATCATCTTCGTCATCGATGAAAACTATATTGGGTTTGGAGCCGTCCACACCTACAGAACAATAAATAATCATATTATTAGAGAAACGTTGAGGAATGCAGTCTGTAGTCACTCGGCCTAATCGAACTCTTCTGTATGTGAGTGGGCACAATGGAACACAATTTCAATCACTGTTCAACCGCACACTTGTTTACTGCAGCTCTGTCCAGTGGTCAGTCGACTCAATGAACAGACGACTATTGATAATATCCGATCATCCAAGTGGAACGGAAGCAATCTGAAACAGTAGGTCATTAGAGTAACCACAATCAACTGCTAATGCTGCAAAACACTTTGTCTCAGTGAACATACGAATTCACAACCACACATTGGATGCTAGTCGCCCCTAACAAGTACCTTCATCTTGTTATCCGACTCTAGAAACGTCAATCACTCGGTCTCACTGGACATGTTCAGATACTAGGATATACCAAGATATGGATAAATTGAGGCTGACGAGTTCACTGGTCTTGTGCTAACCATCACGATTGTCGGTGAAACACACACACACACACGTACCTTGATTATATTGAACGGTAGAGTTGAATGGCATTGGTTTGGTCAGTAGTTGTTCGAAGAGGAAGACACTGAGTAGTAGTACGAAGACGAGTCTCATGACAGTTCTGGAAGAGGAAGAAGAAGAAGAAGAGGAATGCAGATTAGTGAGCGACAGTTGTGTGTTGCGTGATTGTCGCGAGTGAACTGGATGCCACGTGTGGAGTGAGATGTTGTGTGTTGTTGTGTTGTGTAGTGGAGTGTGCTGTAGTGTGGTGATGTGCGGAGTAGTGTTGTGTTTTGATATGGATACACTGCGACTCAGTGCAATTCGATGACTTACTTCACTCACCAATCGTTGTTCACTCAGCCACTTTAATCAGAATACATGGTGTTTCACAATTATTTATATGGTGAGAGATATTCGTAACATGGAGGATTACAGTTGAAAGTCACGTGACACAATCACTGAAACGGATGTTCATGAACACTGAAACAGTCACGTTGCACACGTGTTCCACTGTGCTCCAGTGACACGCGAATGTGACGATTGGCAGCTGTTCATGCTGAACGTGAGTAGGTTGTGATGAATAAATCCATGCTTCATGCCAATCAACAATGATCACATGTACAATGTGTGGATGACTTGATTTGGAGTTGGTTATGAGAGATGAGGTTGAACACGTGAAGTGTTCCATACTTGACAATGGACTGGTGAATGTGGTGTTACTGAGTACTTCGGAGTGATGGTCTGTTATTCGGAATTGTGTTGCATGTGCGTGTCGAGTACCTCCACTTCTGTTAATCACAGAATCTCTCACATTACTGCCAGTACATTCTGTAAAATGTTCAAGATTTGAATAACGTGAAGGTGAAAATTTCTATATTATTATTGTTCAGAACTGTTTCGACTTCATGTACAACTCGTTATCAGGTGTTTTATCCACCAATCAAAATACGAATTATTCAATCTTAGCACTGTGCCAACACCAATTGCGTTCGACCGGTATGAGCAGCCTAGCGTCCCTATTGTTCCTATGTCCGCCTAGTCCGTCCACTTGAGTTTAGAACACCAATACCAGTTTCCACTATGCGAATTGAATCATTTATTTCAGAATTACTGTGTTTATATATCATCAAACAGACCGCAACGCACCATAAAATAGGAAATAACATCTGTGCACAATAAAGCCAAAACGTGACTGTGAACTTGAGAGGCAGTAGTCAATAAACTGAACATAGCTTAAGAACAGTAAATCGTACAATAATAAATTACAGATCAAAATAAAGCTTATAATAAGAGGAATATAAATATATGTAATCTAATTATTGAATAGTTGTACCATGAGAATGTATAGATGATAATAGTCAATTAATATGTCTCAGAAGTTACCCGTGATCTAATCTCCGCTCGGATATAACACCTCCCCCTTTTTTGAAGATTCCAAGTTCAGATTCTGATTTTAAAAAATTATGTGTAACTTCAAATTCTCCAACATCCTCCTTCTCCACGAAACAATGTCGGATCCCTATATCTCCAATTTACAATTAATAGGACTTTATTTAAACCATGTTTCTCGCATTGAATGGAGAATCCACTAGAAATGACCTTTGATTTGAGGTCAGAGTTTGGTTCTTCAGAAGCATTATTTTCAAATTCATTAGGAATCTCATTAGTGGATAATGGGTCATTAGTAAAATCAACATCTAACATAATTAAATTAGATTTTTGACCATCATTTGACTCAGCCGACATATTTTCCCCATTTTTACAAGAAACTTCATCACAATTATTTGTATTATTATGAGAACCGAAATCTGGTATAGTCATTAGAAATCGGATACGTTGGTTCAACATAAATTTCTGTATCCTGATGATTTTGAGTAACATTTAGTACAATTGAGTCCATCGTGCTGCACCAGTTATTTTCTGAATATTAGTCCACATAGCTTTCTCGACTAATATCACGTAGACCATAATTTTGTACTAGTTGAAGTTTATTTTCAGAGCTAGACAGGGACAGCAGTGTTTCATTAATTTTAAAACAAAATACCAGAGAATTTATCCTGGAATGGCAGTAACAAGCGGCCAAGTGTGACGCGGGTGATCTACTTCGTGTCCAGCTGAGTGACCAACTCATCGCAGGAATTAAATTACGATATCTGGAAGTTGAGATTATGCAAATCGCGAAGTGTTCCTTCCAAAATGGTAGGACTGCATGTATTTATTATGAGGCAGTGCATGAAATTGACTTCCACGACATCTACTATCCTAGCATACTAGTACATTACTTGGCTATTCTAATCCAATCTGTAATCCATGTCACATGAACAGACGTTTAATCAACGGTATTTTCCGTTCTCGCAAAATCCTGAGAAGTGATTCATCGAAGAATTGCAAAGCAGTGAACGAGTGCAAGCACAAGTTCGGTAAGTGTTTGTCATGCGGCAAAGTTCAATTTCGTAATTTGTGTTCATTTCTTCATGTTATATGCTCCAGGTGTGGTGAGATGTGACACATTCGGTCGGTTTGTTAAACTACTGTTCATTTCACCGCAAGAAATTCTAAACTCTATAACTCGCACCCTATTCGTTTCTGTGTTTCTAATGATCACATATCACCTTTACTTACTACTTTCAGTAGTTCACTCCATGTTCGAAAATGATAATATTTGTCCAGCGATGCTTTTCATGATTTTATTGTTGAAACTGGCAGTGTCAGATCCGCCGTTTCAATAGGGAAGTTGATGTACCAATTCTATAACTAAAGCTATTTCAGTTTCTATTTTTCGAGAATTACATGCAGCAAACATCCTAATCATCAGTGTTGTAATTTGCGGATCCGGAATGATAAATCTTCAATTATAAGTTGTGAATTACTCATCACCGATTGTTGACCATCAATCACTGATCTAGAAGCTTTGAGAGTGCATTAGCGAAAATATGACGTTTGTATGAACCAATGGTTCCTTTATAATGCATGTCTGACTGATTTTGAATTCTAATTATGATACGTTCGTTTATGCTCAATAACTGGTTATATTTTTGCTAAATAAACTGTTACTTCCATCACAATTATTATTATTATTGTTATTATTTTTATTATCATCTTTAATATTTTACTCACGTACACCAATTTCTGTCCGTCTTCTCTCTTCATTTTGCTGCGTGCATTGAAAATTATTTTTATCTCTGAGCAAACTCATTGTGGTGCATATGCATTAGACGCCTCATATTACCAATGTATAAGTGTTCAAATAATAATGATCATTCATTTAACTGTGAGGCATTTGCGGATCGGAAATCCCACTAACATTGATGTCATAAAACATGAATTTGACAATTCTGCAATCTACCAACAGGTGTACAATCGCTATCAGACAAGACGACGAATACGAGAAAATCAGTAGCATGAGAAACATCCAGTCAATGTGGACGATATTACATATAATATATATAACGCGTTCATTTTTACCCATCTATATTGAATTGAACTATTTTGGAAAATTTAAGTTGAAAATAAATTTGAATGCTTCCAGTTATCATAAGCGCAGGACAGGGAGACTATCATAATGCATCGTATGTGGCACCAACACTGATAATTGCTTAATGAATAGTATTTCGATGATGGTGAGATTCGATCAGTTAACTAAGATCTTGTTCAGTGACTTGAACAACTCTGTACTTCTTTGTTGCATCTTCACTTATTTGCCATCTCCCATTGTGTTGGATTACACCGAAGTTATAGATCACGATGTCAATTTGATTGATTGGTTGAAAATTCAGACAAACACGAATAAACACACTACAAAACAGAGGTCAAGCACATATGTGATGATGTTATAGATTTATTGTCAGTTGTATAACAACACACAGTCTCGTCTCGAACAAACAGGCATTGAATTTCAGTTAATTACCTCATGATAAACGGGTCTCAAAAATGTGATCCAATGAGGGAAGTGTGCTCATGACGGTCGACAGACTAGACATTATGCACATTTCAGCAACCATCATTTCAAAATTAGTGGATGAAAAGGTGGATAATCGAATGACAGCAGAATACACTTACAATCACAACTAGAAATGCCAAGATCTGATCTTCACCCGGAATAATTTGAAATAGAATTGTGGGTCACATAACATGTGATTCGTACTGGATACCGATTCACTAAACAAGAACAAAGAAACATTGTGAAACGGTGATGAACAGAAGTGGAGGTACTCGACACGCACATGCAACACAATTCCGAATAACAGACCATCACTCCGAAGTACTCAGTAACACCACATTCACCAGTCCATTGTCAAGTATGGAACACTTCACGTGTTCAACCTCATCTCTCATAACCAACTCCAAATCAAGTCATCCACACATTGTACATGTGATCATTGTTGATTGGCATGAAGCATGGATTTATTCATCACAACCTACTCACGTTCAGCATGAACAGCTGCCAATCGTCACATTCGCGTGTCACTGGAGCACAGTGGAACACGTGTGCAACGTGACTGTTTCAGTGTTCATGAACATCCGTTTCAGTGATTGTGTCACGTGACTTTCAACTGTAATCCTCCATGTTACGAATATCTCTCACCATATAAATAGTTGTGAAACACCATGTATTCTGATTAAAGTGGTGGGTGAACAACGATTGGTGAGTGAAGTAAGTCATCGAATTGCACTGAGTCGCAGTGTATCCATATCAAAACACAACACTACTCCGCACATCACCACACTACAGCACACTCCACTACACAACACAACAACACACAACATCTCACTCCACACGTGGCATCCAGTTCACTCGCGACAATCACGCAACACACAACTGTCGCTCACTAATCTGCATTCCTCTTCTTCTTCTTCTTCCTCTTCCAGAACTGTCATGAGACTCGTCTTCGTACTACTACTCAGTGTCTTCCTCTTCGAACAACTACTGACCAAACCAATGCCATTCAACTCTACCGTTCAATATAATCAAGGTACGTGTGTGTGTGTGTGTGTGTGTTTCACCGACAATCGTGATGGTTAGCACAAGACCAGTGAACTCGTCAGCCTCAATTTATCCATATCTTGGTATATCCTAGTATCTGAACATGTCCAGTGAGACCGAGTGATTG